GGTGGAGGTGGTGATGGTGGTCACTGCCATCGAGTCAGATCTGACACATTAGTGACCCCTCCTTGGGTTTCTGAGGCAGTATCTCTACAGAAGTAGGTTGCCCAGTCTTCCTTCCAAGGAGTGGCTGTGGGTTTAAACCACCTGCCTTCTGGTTAGTAGTCAGATGCCTTAGGTGCTATGCCACCACAGCTCCTGTACGGTAATAATAGAAGATAGCAATAACCCCAACTCCCTATTTCTAATGCTTCTAATTTCTTTCCTTGCCTAATGTCATTGATCGAGACCTCTGGTACCATGATAAATATTTGGTGGTGATAATGGTGACCTTGTCTTGTTCATGAGAATCTCCCCAGAATTTCCTCATTGAATGTGAGACTACCATTTTGGTTGAGATGCTTTAGTCTTTTATGTTGTCTAAGTTAAGAATGGATGTCTGATTTTACCTAATGTCTTCTTAGCATCTATAGGTGTTACTGATTGAATTGTGTACCCAAAATTATGTGTCAATTTGGCTAGGCCATGATTTTCAGCATTAAGTAATTATCTTCCATTTTGTGATCTACTTATCCTATGTGTTATAAATCCTAATCTGTATATTAATGAGGCAGGATCCAATCTACAGGATTAGGTTGTATCTTGAGTCAATCAATATCTTTTGAAATATTAAAGAAATTAAGCAAATGAGCAGAGATCAGAAGGACCTACTACCACCAGAAGAGCTGCGAGTGGAGTGTGTCCTTTGTACCCTGGGTCCCTGTGCCAGGAACATCTGGAACTAGGAGATGGAGAAAGAAAGGCTTCTCTTAGAGTTGGCACCCAGAATTTGGACTTTTAGACTCTTAAACTTAATAATAAATTTGTTTGTTAAAGCCAACCACTTGTGGTCTTGCTGTTAGAGCAGCACTAGATAACTAAATCAATACCAAAGGAAACAAACAGACAGACAAACTTACTGCCATGAGTTGATTCCAACTCATAGCGACCCCTATTGGGTTTTTGAGGGGGTAAATCTCTACAAAAGTAGATTGCCTCGTATTCCTTCCTTGGAGTGGCTGGTATATTTGAACCACCAGCCTTCCAGTTAGCAGGCAAATGCCTTAGGCACTGTACTACCAGAGCTTCTTAAATTAACTAAGACAATGTTGTTGTTATTGTTGTTAAGTGCCGTCGAGTCATTTCCAACTCATAGCGACCCCATGCACAGCAGAACGAAACACTGCCCGATCCCGTGCCAGCCCCACAATCCCTGCTATACTTGAGCCCATCATCGCAGCCACCATGTCAATCCATCTCGTTGAAGGCCTCCCTCTCTTTCGTCGACCCTTCACCCTACCAAGCATGACATCCTTCTCCAGGGAATGGTCCCTTCTGACAACATGACCAAAATAGGTGAGACGAAGTCTGGCCATTCTTGCTTCCAAGGAGCATTCCAGCTGTACTTCCTCCAGGACAGATCTGTTAGTTCTTTTAGCAGTCCATGGTACTTTCAGCATTCTTCGCCAGCACCACAACTCAAAAGCATCAACTCTTCTTCGGTCTTCCTTATTCATTGTCCAGCTCTCACATGAATATGAGGCGATTGGAAATATCATGGCTTGTGTCAGGTGCACCTTAGTCCTCAAGGAGATATCCTTGCTCCTCAGCACTTGATACAGTTCCTTCGCAGTTGACTTTCCCAATGCTACACGTCGTCTAATGTCCTGACTGCTGCTTCTGTTGGCATTGATTGTAGAACCAAGCAACGTGAATTCTTTGACAACCTCAATCTTCTCTCCATTTATTGTGATGCTGTTCATTGGTCCAGTTGGGAGGATTTTTGTTTTCTTTATATTGAGACGTAATCCATACTGCAGACTGTATTCTTCAACCTTCATCAGTAGGTGCCTTAAGTCATCCTCACTTTCAGCAAGCAAAGTTGTATCATCTGCATATCTCAGGTTGTTAACGATTCTTCCTCCAATCCTGATACCACGTTTTTCTCCATATAGTCCAGCTTCTTGGATTATTTGCTCAGCATATAGATTGAATAAGTGTGGAGAAAGAATACAACCCTGACACACTCCCTTCTTGATTTTAAACCATGCAGTGTCCCCTTGTTCTGTTCGAACAACAGCCTCCTGGTCAAGGTACAGATTCCTCATGAGTACAATCAAGTGCTCGGGAATTCCCATTCTTCTCAATGTTATCCATAACTTGTCATGATCCACACAATCAAATGCCTTTGCATAGTCAATAAAACACAAGTAAACATCTTTCTTTTATTCTTTGCCTTGAGCCAAGATCCATCTGACAACAGCTAACTAAGACAATAGGTAAAACAAAGTAATTTTTTCCTTCCCAAGATAATGAAAAATTTATATAAATCATTAAACATGAAACTATTCTTACATTCTTAGAATGACCTATTTAGCCATGTTATTATGCTAAATGCTATCCAGCTTTTATGCATCAACCAGTCATAGATTGGTCCATAGCTTTTCATATAACCATTAAGGTTTGAGGGAGCTCTGGTGACATAGTGCCTAAGGCATTTGACTACAAACAAGAAGGCTGATTTCCTCAGAAAGAAAGTTGGGCAATCTACTTCCGTAGTGATACCAACTCGGAAACTCAAGGAGAGGTAGCTATGAGTCCAATCCAACTCAACGGCGGTGGTTGCGTTTTGTGTTGATGATATTCAAATACCTGGACAGACAATGTAAGCTGCCTTCCTCCAGGACTGAGAGCCCCATTGAAATAAATGTCTTACTTCTAGGGAAGGGAGTTTGTGTTAGAGCTAGGCTTTGCTTGTAGAACAAAGGGTTAGACCAGGTATAAGGGCTCTCATGTTTGCTCGATTTCTTTCTGAACAGTATGTTCCTAACACTAGTATCTAAAGTTCTTGGTCACTGCTGATGAAACTTTTGCATACTAAGTCAAGACTTGGTACAGCTTTTCCTTGTAGCTTCGTCTGGCCACTGCTCTCTCTCTCTCTCTCTCTCTCTCTCGGCCAAAGTCATCATTCTTGACTCAGTCTTTTACTGACTTGGCAACATCTTCATGATTATGTCTCTCTCACTCATTTATGTTAGTCACCTATGGGCCAAGCAATGTGCTAAGGATACAATGACGAAGGCTGACCGGGGCAAATATTGAACAAACAGCAACGTGAAGTTCATGAAGGAGAAGTAAAGGCTGTGGTGGGAACATAACAGACAGACTACTGAGCATGGTTTAGAGAGGTTGAGTAGCATGTTCAGCAATTAGGTACTGGTGCCTCATAACAAAATTTTATGTATAGGTGGGGATATTACTTAAGGGAAGAAAAACTACTTAGAATGACAACATTTGGTAGAAAGGGCATAAATCTAGATTTTTAGAAAAGGTTTTGGTATCGGGATACAAGGTAGGGCTTCAAACCAGTTCAATTGGGTTTGACTCCCCTGTTGAACATTGACATTTCCACCTCAGATAGACTGTATCAGAATCCACCTTTCAAGAAGATTCTAATTCAGTATATCTGGGGTAGAAAGGTAATTCTCTGTTGGGGGTCAAACTGGAATGAATCTGTTAAAAGCCTGATATAAGGATTTTTATAAAGGATTAGAGACAGCTGTTAAGCTTCAAGTTTTCTTGACTTACTAATTCTTGCTCTCTGATTTTTTTCAATTTTCAATTTTTTTTCATAGCAATAAAAATATATATAACAAAACATTTGCCAATTCAGCAGTTTAAAATGTATATAATTTGGTGCATTGTCAATTCTTTGGGGCTTTTAAGAAGGTGTTTCTTAGGCCTTACCTAGCACTCTGACTTGTTTTCAGAAGGAAGTTCGATCTGAATAGTCAGTTCTCCAAGGCATAGTCCCAGAACCAGCAACATCAGCATCACTTGGAAATATTCCAGAAGTTTGTAGTTCAGGCCCCAATCCAGATCTCCTGAATCAAACCGTGGGGGTTGGGTCCAACCACCTATGTTCTAAGACACCCTTCAAGTGATTCCAATGCACATGAAAGTTGGAGGACCACTTATCTAGCCCAAAGTTACCAGTGATGAGGTAGATAAAACAGTGAGTAGGTTGATGGCATTTTTAAGAAACTGAGATAGGAAGACAGAGAGGCTAAGATTTTTAAGCATCAGACTTTGAATATCTAGTATGGCCAACTTGAGAAAGATGGGGAAGAAGGACTAATGTTCTAGAATACAAACATTTTCTGTAAAAAGCCAAATAGCAAGAATTTTAGACTTTATGGGCTATCTGATCTCTGTCAAGGAGCTCTAGTGGCATAGTGGTTAAAGCACGTAGCTGCTAACCAAAAGGTCAGTGGTTCGAATCCACAAGCCACCCAAGAGAGAAAGATGAGACTGTCTGCTTCTATAAAGATTTACAGCCTCGGAAACTCCATGGAGCAGTTCTACTGTGTCCTAAAGTGTTGCTATGAGTCAGAATCGACTTGATGGCAGTGGGTTATGATCTGTCACAACTATTAGACTCTGTTATTACAGGGTGAAAGTGGCTATAGACAATATATAAATAGATGAGCATGGCTGTGTTCCAATAAAACTATTTGCAAAATCAGATGTCAGGCTGGATTTGGCCTTTAGGCAATAGTTTGCTGACCCCTGTCTTAACAATAATTACCTTTTTTTTTTTTTTTTAAAGCACCTGGTAAAGCAGGAACTGGGATAGGGAACCCAGAGCTTGTCTGTTCCGTTTCCTCCATTGTTTTTTCTTAAAGTAGGTCCTAAGGCTCTTCCTCATGGCAAGTTTTAATGCCATCTAAGTACAGTGTTCCAGTGTTTAGGCTTGGGACACCTTAAGTGTTGTCCTTGAATGAGTAGGTAACTCTCCCTGAATCAATCTAGACCCCAACCAAGGCATAGAAGTCAAAGAAGCCAGTGACCAACCTGAGCTCAGGCCTGGACCCTTGAAGCCTGAGAGTCCTTTGCCCTAGTGTATTGTCTCTCTCCTCTTTGCAGGTGCCAGTCAGCCTGCTGAGACCAACACAAACACCCAGAGTATGAGTCACCAGACAGACATCTTCTCCATGTCCTGTGGACAGATGAGGGCCCAAGGCCTCAGATTGCAGAGCATCTACCCCCAGCTGTTGGAGATGGTGCTGCGCTTACAGAAGGCCATAGAGGAGCACTTCCTGCAGGTGAGAAGCAGGCACAAGCAGCAGGACCTGGTGCTGGAGGAGCAGAGGCTGAGACTGGAGCAGAGGCGCAGTGAGGCCATTCAAGAGCAGGAAGCCCTGGTGGCTCGTTTAATGAGTCAGCTGGCCAACGTCCTACAGTCTGGGTCCTGGAATGACCCGGGACTCCAACTACTTCTACCCTCCATGGACACTAGGGGTAATGCTGGAAGTGGGCAGGGAGCCCAATCAGCCAGAAAACCTGACCAGCTACTTCCCCTGCTGAGAGAGTGGCAAACTGCATCTGTCATCCCTGTCCTCTCCAATCGTGGGGAAGATATCTCTGATTTATACCATATGAGCTTCCAAGACCATATTGCCAACCAAGGAGATAAATACCATGAGGATATGAACATCTCGGTGAGAAGAGGGGGACGAATACCAAGGGGTATTACTCACTTAGATTTACTGAGCACCTCTGCTGAGTACTTTGTGCTCCCATTTAATCTTCACAGCCCACGAAGTGTAGGTATTAGTGTCATCTTATAGATAAGGGTAGGAGCTCTGGTGGCATAGTGCCTAAGGCACTTGACTGCTAACCAGAAGGCTAGCAGTTCAAACCCACCAACCACTCCTTGGAAGGAAGACTGAGCAATCTACTTCCATTGAGATACTGCCTCGGAAACCCCAAGAGAGGTCACTGTGAGTAGCAATGGACTTGATGGCAATGAGTTTGGTTTTGTTTTGGTTATAGATAAGGGGAGGGACACAGAAACAATGGGATGTGCCCAAGAAAGGTATAGCTCTGGAGTCTGAATCCTCCAGGCATGCTTTTTCTAAATCACAGCTTGTAATCACTAGAAGTTAGGCACTGGGGTCACTGTGGTGAGTGAACTTGTCTTCTAGGAACTTAGCCTATTGATGGATGTAGTCAGTTATTGGGGAAGCAAATCTCAGTATCTCCAATAACGTTAAGGGGTACCCACTTCAGGTGGTCAGGAAAGGTCTGTCTTTAAGGCTAATCAGCCCACCATATCGGAGGAGGGTCATCCAGGAGGGAGAGACACCATGCATGAAAACTTTTCAGGTAGGAAGGGCTTGGAGTGATTGGGAAAGGAGGCCCATGTGGCTAGAGCAGGGACAATGAATACTGTGGCAAGAAGTGGGTAGGAATAGGCCATCTGGTGGTGTTAGGTTATCATTCTAAAGGATGATAGAAGTCACTGAAAAGGTTTCAGCAAAGGAGGTTCATAGAAGTTCTGCAGCCAGAGGACTCTGGGTGGATAGCACTAGTGACACCGCCTCCTTCTGTTCCTATCTGAAGGATATGTGATTGACGCCCATCTTCTTTTCTGGGTATTGAGTTAGGTATCTCCACTGGGCTCCAAGGGACTATATCTCCAATGACCTGACAAGCTCTTACACAGAAGGAGGAATAGCAGTGTACAGGATGGGGCCTGTGGTGGTTAAGGGATCAGACAGGTGGAGTTTTTGTCAGTTACCTGAGGTCTCATAGCTAGTAAGTTATTCAAACTTCTGATTGTTACCATCTTTAAAGCAAGGATCATAATAGAGCCCTCTTAAGAGTCATGATAAAGAAAGCAACTCACATTAAGCAATTAGTCTAGGGTCTAGTATGTAATAGAACTCAATTACTAGTAGCTGGTATATAACATAGCTACTATGACCAATTGCCAATTGGCTCTATGCAAGCTGTAAAATACTGGGTTTGTGGAAAGTTTTCTGATGCTTAAGTCTGTTGAACATACACTAAACTGCTTTGTAGGGCAGTAAGAGATCCAGCTGGACTAATCCAAGATGGGTATTTGCTTATTGACATTTTAAAAGGGTTTCATAAAGGACACAACAAGAAGACTGATGTCAGATTCTTCCCATCTCCAGGGCATCATTAACCTTAGTACCAGTGAGAACAAGCTCTGCACTGACCTGATGGCTGAAAGGGTAAGCTGTGTTCTGGGCTGTGCAGGGGACCCCCCACCCCCCAGGCCCTTTAGAATGTTCCTGAGCATGTGGTCGATACAAGAGTATGGTTGAGGAGTTTACATAAGTAGCTTCTAGAAGAGCACATCTAAACTTCTGGCCTTTCTACCTGTGTCCAGAGGTATTCTCTGGATCAGTAGATGGTGGGTAGGCTGCCAAGGGAAACTTTGGCCCAAATGTAAGATTGGGAATGTTGTAAAATTAAACACTGCCTGGTGAGTTATCTGTATAATCTATGATGAGAATATGGAAGTCTCCATTCATTAAAGAACGTACAGCTTGCATCTTCACTTCCCTTCTGGGAAGTCTTATATGTGCAGGACAAACATCTATGTGTATACTAGGAGCAGGATGAGGCCTCAAGGGCTTCTCCAGTTGCCCTTAAACTCTTTGCCAACAGTTGAGTTGGAGTGACATGAACTACATTGAGGATGACTTGCTACAGTACCCTGATGGGAGAGGGCAGCCATTGTAAGTAACCTCCAGATCCATGCACCTAGTCCACAGGTACCTCTCCTCAACCAATGGAAGATTCAAGGCACCAAAGTCTTGGTTGGTTGCCTCCCTATCTCTTTAAGTAATAAATTCTAGAAAATACCAAGAGCAAAAAAGCAGCCTGCATAGTAGAAATTTCACTATCTTATAATTCAAAAGTTCTGAGTTCTTGACTCAACTCTCACACTTAGTATCTGTGTGATATGGGAGAGTTGATAGCCTCAGTTAGTAGCCCTGTTAAAATGAGGTTGAACTTAGTAGTAAAGATCTTTTCTAGTCTCAACACTCTATCCTTTGAAAAGGACTGAAGTCTAGATTCTGAATGAGGAAGGGCCCCTGGGCCTGGAAACCACAGGTTCTCTCTGGGTCTGTCTACAGCCTACGGGAAGAAGTGGCCCGGTTCCTGACCTACTACTGCAAAGCACCTGCTCCCCTTGATCCAGAAAATGTGAGTCAGTTTCTTTGCCATGCTGCTGTTCTTGTACAGGGCTATATTTTGAGAGGACCCTCTGAGTTTTCCAGGGGGGCAGGGAGAACCGGTGGAGAGACTCAGGGCTTGGGAAGAGTAAAGCTCAATGGCTCTGAACTGAGGAGGATCCTGGCTCCTGACCCCCACAGAAGGAGACAGGGTGGCTGCCCCTTTTTCACATGGGTCTTGCATTTTGACTTAATTTCTGCCTTTTGTTTGTATCTTTCAGGTGGTGGTTCTAAATGGCTGCTGTTCTGTCTTCTCTGCACTGGCCATGGTTCTATGTGATGTAGGAGGTAAGTCATTGGCCTCTACTTTCACTCTTAGTGAAATGCCAGGTTATGGGCAGGAACATATGAACACTAAGCTTTAAGGAAAAAAAGACCATCTTGATCAAGGCCTTTCCCCAAAAGTGCTGAGATTTCTCCTATACTAACTAGTATACCTTTCTATTTCTGTGAGGGGTTTGGATCCCCATTTAATATAGAAGGGGCACATATGACAATCCTCAAGGTGGTATGCCCCGGGAATCATAATGGAAACCACCAGCCCATTATGTTTAGCTTGACTTTAGGTCTCAACTCCAGTACTGAGAGCCCTGGTAAATTGGTTCAGATTATATAGATTTCCTACTTTCTATAGTAAAAATGCTATTTTTCACTGGACCAAATAAGGCTCTGAAGTGTGTTCTAATCTTCACTCTAATCAATGCCCAAACAATAGTCTCTGAGACTAATGAGCCCTGGCTGCATAGAAGAAAGTGACCACAATGTCTTGTTTCAGTCAAAGGTGTGGGTCATGGTTAGCTCATCTATGAGGCCAAATAGATGGGAAGAAAAGAACGTATGTGCTCATTAGCTCCAAATAACCTGAGCCATGGAAAAGAGAGCCCTCCCTGTGCATGGGCTTTGGCTTCTAGCATTTGGCCTGAAGCCAATAAGACTCTCCAAATTATCAGTGCTCCACTTGCTAGCAAGCCTGGCTTGATTCACGCCCTGGATTCTGAGCCATTTAAAGTAACATTCTTTTTCTCCTTCTCTAGGTGGGGGAGCTCTGGTGGCATAGTGCATTAGGCATTTGACTGCCAGCCTTCAAACCCACCAGCCACTCCTCAGAAGGAAGATTGGGCAATCTACTTCCATAGTGACACTGCCTCAGAAATCCAAGGAGGGGTCGCTATGAGTCGGATCCAACTCAATGCCAGTGAGTCTGGTTTTGTTTTTGGTAGTATACCCCAAAGAGTAAACTTGAATTTTTCCCCTAAGTACTGTCTATAAAAACAAAACCAAACTCACTGCCATCGAGTCGATTCCAACTCATAGCAACCCCAAGGCAGTAAATCTTTACGGGAGTAGACTACCCAGTCTTCCTTCCACAGAGTGGCTGGTGGATTTGAACTGCCAAACTTCTGGTTAGTAGCCAGATGCCTTAGGCACTAGGCCACAAGTGCTCCTTAAGTATTGTCTAAATAGGATGCATAAGATGCCTTAGCCTATACGACTAAGAGACCAGAAGAACTAGATGGTGCCCGGCTACCACTGTCAACCACTTAGAGGGGAATCTATGTAGGAGATCCTGGATAGAGTTGGGAGAACAATGTGGAACAATACTCAAAATCATTATTTAAAAAAAAATAAAAGGGACTGGGTTTGCTGGTCTGATAGAGCCTGGTGGAACCCCTAAGACTATGGCCTGTAGCTGCCCTCCAGGTCTGGAATTGAGCCCACTCATGTGGCTTCCTGCCAAACAAAAGACAGGCATATGAGCTAAACATTTACATTAGGTAGATATACTCCTTGGAGAGATCTATCATGGGAGAATAGAAGGGCTGTGTATGCACAGACAGAGAGCTTGGGGGACAGGAATGCATTGGGAGGGAAGGACACAGGGAAGAGGTAACTATGGGGAAGAAATGGGAGGGGAGCTGTTGCATTGTGGTAAATTGCAGTCAATGTCATGAGACAGTGTATGTGAGCTGTATGGAAAGTGAATTTGCTCTGTAAACTTTCACCCAAATCACAAAAAATAAAATGTATAGGTTCTGAGCCCAAAAGCACAAATCCCCAGGTTGGAGGGAGTGCCAAACTGACCTTTTCTGTTGGTAGCTTTGCTGCTAGTCTGGGGGAGCGTGGCAGGTCCTGATGGAGAGACTAGAGACTGACAGCTTTTTGTCTTATACTTCCAGAGGCCTTTCTGATTCCCACCCCCTTCTATGGTGGTCTTGGCTTTAGTTCCCGCCTGTATGCGAAAGTTGAGCTGGTTTTTGTCTACCTGGACGGTGAGGTCAGAATGGGGCCCCTTACCATGCTCAGTCCACCTATGCAAGGGACTTTCTTCGGATCAATAGGAATACATAGGGAGTTCTGCAAACTCACGAAATGAGTGATGGTGGGGAAGGGTGGAGAAGTCAGGATGAAGAAGTCATGTCAGACTAGTGGCCTGGGTATGAAGGCAAAGGATTGTCCTGGTTTTATAGGAATGAGAAATCAAGGTTCAGAAGCTTTTCAGATGGCCGATTCTCACATACTGTTTTCCAGATCACTGGTGGGAACACACAACCTTTCCAGCTCACTGTGGACAAGCTGGAACAAGGTCTGCATGAAGCTAGGCTTAAGGTAAAGGAGGGAAATGTGTTTTCAAGATGACCGCTGCTGGCTCTGAAAGGGGTTGAGTCCTGAGACTCTGGTACAACTTGCTCACGGAGACCTTGTGAGCTCTCTGTTAGAAGAGACAGGGAATATGCACAGGAGAATTTTCCCCTAGGATCCTTGTCCCCTCTCTGTGGCAGTCCCCGGAACTCCTTCTGCTTCTCCTCTGTAGGCAGGATGGTAGGTGCTGCTTCAAGATTCTCCGTAGGCCTTAATTTGATGTCCTATATCAGGTGTCCTGACCTATTAAGAACCCTTAGCTGAATTTGGAATAGATATTAAAAGATTTCTGCTCACTCAATTATGTTTGGGTTCTTTTTAGAGGAAAAATGTCAGAGGCCTCGTGCTAATCAACCCTCAGAATCCTCTTGGTGACATCTATTCCCGAGACTCAATGAAGGAATACTTGGAATTTGCCAAGAGGTATATGGGTTCTACCCCTTATAACTAGGTGAAGTCCCTAAAAATGGTTTCTATCATCTTTGTCAAGAAGTCAGAGATTTACCCTAATTACAACATAATTCACAAAGTTATATACCACTAGTTGAAATCGGAATGAAGAAAAATGCACCCACATGCTTTCCACTTCAAGTAAATGTTTGCCGTTGCCTTTCTAGGCTTTGCCCATGTATAGATACATACAAAACTATCATAATACAGTTCTGTTGCTTTTCTACTTACTGTACCATAAGTACTCTCTCCTAGCATTTGTTTCCTAATGTATTTGGCCCAAGGCAACAAAGAAAGCAGACTTTCAGACCTCAGGGGGTGAAAATGTGTTCCTAGAAGAACATTCAAGGAGCCTTTGTGGCACTGTGGTTAAGCAGCTCAGCTGCTAACCAAAAGGCTGGCAGTATGAACCCACTCATCAACCCCACAGCAGAAAAGACTTCCAGTAAAGATTACAGCCTATGAAAACCTATGGGGCAGTTCTACTGCCACATTGAGTTACTGTGAGTCAGCATGGACTCAAATGGCACATAGCAACATAGCCACTCCTCAGAAGAAAGGTTGGGCAATCTACTTCCATAGTGAAGCTGCATCCTATCTTATGTAGGGGTCACTATGAGTCGAGTCCGACTCGACGGCACATAACAACAACAACAACAACATTCCTAAGAACATATTGACATCAGTTCACGCTAGACTCTTAAAACACCCCTATTAGTTAGGGCAGACAATCTTCCATTTTCTAAAAGAAACAGACTTATTCAACCTCCATAACTAAGCTGGGCCAATTAATGGCAGAACATGAGAGCAGAGGAAAGAATGCTGATATGGGGGGCTGGGATGATACAGAACAGGGCTCAAATGCCAGCTCTAGTGCCTACTAATTAGGGGAATTAATTTTATCTCAGCCTTAGTTTCTTCATTTGTGAAATTGAACTGACAATACTGCTCCATAGGGTTACTGGGGAGAATTAATGAGATGATACACATAGCCCAATGCTATCATTTGATTAATACCCCAGGAAGGGTCTCCTGATTCTTCTGGACCCTACCTCTCTAGGACATGCAACTCCTCTTGTTGCTGGTTGCTGGTTGTTTTGGTTGCTGGTTCTCTAGTACTGCTATAACAGACATACCACAAATGTGTGGCTTTAACAAACAGGGATTTATGCTGTTACGGTTTAGGAGGCTAGAAATCCAAGTTCAAAGTACTAACTCTAGGGTGAAAGCCCCTTGACCTTGGGCTTCAGCTCTGCCTCTTGCTCCCAGCCTAATGAAGTTGGAAGCTGCTCTTAACTCAGGCAGCTGCTGGCTGCTGAGGCTGACAAACCCAAGGTCAACAAATAAAATTCCACAGTCACAAGATTACAAAACAACATGGCAGGCCACTAGTTCAGGTCCAGATACAGTCACAAGATTGGCAGGAAATGTGGCATGCTGGTGAATAAAGACTTGGCTACATGCAGGGTCCAAGCATGCTAAAAACTCAGAGACCTTTCTTAATGCTTCTTACATACTGGAAGCAGACCACATCCCTAAGGCAGCTACTCAGCTGTTCAAGTAGATTCCACCATGGAGTTGATTACCAGTCCCACCATGGGGAATAACTATGTCCAGCTGTCCAGCCACTCAAAACCAGGCCTAGCCAAGTTGGCACACAACTTTACCACAATGGCTGAAAGGTTAGATAAGATGTTTTCAGTGTCTTACTTGGGTCGTATCTTTCCCAGTACCCCTAAGCCAGGTCTAAGGGTCCCTTCTAGTGTACCATTGCCTTCGGCCTTACCATGTCCCTTAGAAGGGTTGAATGGGCTGCTGTGGCAGTAGGAATATCTGGTCTGTATCTAGAGAAGACCACAGAAGAAAGTGAATTATGACTAGTGAGCGAGCCTAGGCATTGTTCTTCTTCTTTTGCCCAATCTGCAGGCATAATCTACATGTGATCATAGATGAGATTTACATGCTATCTGTGTTTGATAAATCCACCACATTCCACAGTGTCCTGAGTATGGAAAGGTGAGTTGGTCTTAATTGGAATTGGGAATGAAAACCATGATGTTCCTGCTTTGCGTGGTGAGTTGTTCATGTGCCCAAAACTTAATTGGCTATGTGCTTGGTACTGAGTTAAATAGCAAGGGGAATGTGAAAATGAAAAAAAACATATTTCTTTCTCCAAAGTGTCTTCTACTCTAAAAGTCACGTTGTTACAAGATATGAAGGCAAATTAGAAAGTGCGCTGTCAAAAGTCAAGATAAAGCCCTGTGGAAGGCCAGGGTGGGAAATACAGCACAGGAAAATAATAGAAACTAGGCAGAACTTAGAGGTAATATTTGGCCCTTGGATAGGATTCCAACAAGAAAACCAAGGTAAGTGTATGCCTGGAAGGAGGAATAGCTGTGTTAAAGATGGGGCCATAAGAAATTAGTGAGCACATTCTAGGAATGGTGGGTGATCATATATGGGACCAGTCAAATCCAAGAAGGTGGCTTGAGATAAGTTTCAGAGGGCCATGAGCCAGGCTGAGGGTCCTGGACTTCACTCAGTGGACATTTGGGAGCTGTTGCATCTAGATCCCTAGAGATACCTTTTGTTGATTTTCTGGCTTCACTAGAGCAATATTGAGTCCTCTGCCCAGCTGTCTGAGAGTGACCACAGTCTATTCTCTTCATATACCTCAAGTCTCTATCCTTAAATTATTCCTCCATAACCTTGATTGTACTATCTCTTTTCCAGTTTGCCTGACCCCAACAGAACCCATGTGATCTGGGGTACCAGCAAGGTGAGCCCCAGCTGTCAGCCCTTGGGTGGGGAAGGAAGGAGAGCCAGAAGCAGAAGACAGACAGACCAGGTGTTCTCTCTCCTACTACTCTTCTAGGATTTTGGCATCTCTGGCTTCTGCTTTGGCACTCTGTACACCCATAGCAGGGAAGTGGCCACTGCAGTGAGTGCTTTTGGCCACCTGCACAGCATCTCTGGCAGCACCCAGTATAAGCTATGTCGGCTGCTCCAGGATAGAGGTACTGAGCTCCATCCCAGGCTAGATTCTTGGCTGAATCTCACGGCCATAGGGAATTCCTGGGTCTGCTTGGACCTCTGCAGTGGCATCAGCACACCAAGACCCCGTTCATTGTCTCAGGCTTAGCCTTGGCAGGACATGAAGTTTGAAGGAAGGGTAGGATGCAGCTCAGATAGTGAATTGTGAAGATGGAGGTGCTGGTCTGAAACACAGCATGGGTTTGAACTTCTGGATGTGTGGTAGCTTTATGTTCTGCCTGGAAAGGGGATAGCCAATTATACTCTAAGATCTGAAGGTAGGGAATTGAGAAGTTGGTCTTTATGTGAATATCTTTTCCCTCTCTCGTCCCCTGCTTGCTTCAGGAAAAAGTTACAAAGAAGCTCCCTGTGTCCTCTAGTACAGCTTAACCTCATCTTCCAAGTGACCAAAAGAAGAGTTGCCATCTTGAGGAGTTGATGTGGTTAGACTTATGGTACCTAGAGTCACCTTTACCCTTGGATCTCAAGTGAATACTGGCCTTGGAGGGAAATTCTCCCTTCAATGCTATGGCCCAAACATAGATAAGACCCCCTTTCTTTAATCCTCTGTAGTAGAGCAGATACCAGGCTGGAGGGTTTAAATGAAAAGCTGGGATATCATGAAACAAACTAATGTAATGAAATAAGATGGCTTAAAAAAGTTTACTTTCACCTTTGGGTGAAGAAGGAGGTAGCTAGGATAAATCTAACTGGATGCTTTCCTACATGGCCCCAGACCCTTTGATATTTGGCAGAAACCAATTTCCCAGGCCTGAAAACATTGGTCTTCAGCCTTGGCTGTCCATGGGAACTACCTGGGGCGCTTAGATACTAGTGTGTGGACCCCATCACAAAGATTCTGATGTAGATAATCTTGGGGGATGGGTAGTTTAGGCATCAGACTCCAGATGGTTCTAATATGCTTCTAGTACCAAGAACAATTGAGCTAAGAGTACCCCAAAGCCTATCTAAGTTCCTCAGAGTGCATTGTGTGAGTCTCAAAGGCAGGAAGAATAAGGACCTGCTATTTCCCCTGTTGATAGCCAGGAGCATCAACCCCCTTCAAGGAATACTCTTCCATTATACCTCTTCCTTGCCTCTAGGAGTATAAATACAAACAGAGCATTTCTATTGAATTAATGAGAAAACTAATGTCTCTACCCAAGCCATAAATAAGAGGTGGGTGTGTTGGGTATGGATGCCAACAACACATAGGTGTGTTGATGGATGCCATCAACTCGAATATGATAGTCTTGGACAGAAGAGATGGCATGAAGCCCAGGAAGGGAGAATTTGATAAGGAACCCTTGGTAGATCTCTGATGCAAGACCTATGAGGGCTCTCTTCCCCTGCTCATCTAGATTGGATTGACAAAGTGTATCTGCCTACTAATTGCTCCCGGCTCCAGGAAGCTCACAAGTATATCACAGACAAGTTGAAGGCCATGGAGATCCCCTTTCTCAATCGTGGCTCTGGTCTCTGTGTCTGGATCAACTTGAGGAAGGTGAGGCGTGGGAATGAGGAATGGCATTCTGGGGCAGACTTGGCAGATGGGCCCTGGGCTAATCTGTCCCTCTGTCCTTCCTAGTACCTGGACCCATGCACATTTGAGGAAGAACTAGTCCTCCATCAGCGCTTCCTAGATAACAAGGTGATGTTGTCTGGTGGCAAGTCTTACATGTGTAAGGAGCCAGGCTGGTTCTGCCTTGTCTTTGCGGATAAGCCCCGCCGGCTGAAACTGGGTGAGTGGTGCTGACCTCACAATCCCAATCCCAAAGATGCCTCACCAATTCTTCTATAACCCAAACTCTGAATCTTCTCTCTTGCTTTTAGCAGCCAATAGCTCTTTCTTCTATGCCACCTGTTTCCATCTTTATATCTTTAATTAAACACCTTTTTAAATCAGAAAGGATAGGTACTTGAGATATATGCCTACTCATTCATTACACCTTTGGGTATCTGTTCTGTGTCTGATATTAAGCAAGGCATTGAGACTATGTATAAGCCAATAAGAAGGGGTACTCTGCCCTTGTGGGACTTGCAGCCTAACAGGAAGATGAATGGGTAGATGATGAAAGCTCCTTTCTTGTGTATCACACTGTGGAGTTCAGATCCTCCTCTGAAGATTTTGGAGAACATCGTAACCATTTTGATAAGTATTTATTGCCTCACACTGTGTGCCATGTATTGTTCTACCTGCTGGGAATGCAGCAGTAAATGAGACAAGGTTGGCTTTGTTGCAGCGAGGCTAGTGTGGAGAACAGATTGAGTGCAGAGACACTACCCTACCCATTGACATCGAGTTGATTCTACCTTATAGCTACCTTATAGGACACCATAACAGAACTGTCCCATAGGATTTCCAAGGCTGTCAATCTTTAGGGAAGTAGATTGCTACCTCTCTTTCCTGTAAAGCACCTGGTAGGTTCAAACCACTGACCTTGCAGTTAGCAGCTGAATGCTTAACCACTGCATGACCAAGGCTCCTTTTGAAGAGACACTAGAGGCATGGACAACTTGATGAGGTCAAGGCTATCAGCCAAGGTATGAGACTTTGAGGTATCTGGCATGCTGCTGTGACACTGAGAACCGTTTAGAACCATTGAGGATGTTGCAGGGAGACTTAAAGTCCATCTCAAAGAAAGGAGAGCTCAAGTCAGCATAGGTACAGTCACTGAATGAGAAGCTCAGTGATGGGCTACCAAGACCTGGGTGTGTCTGGGGCCCACCTGCTAACCACTAAGTATTTCTTTCCCCATTTGGATCCTCTAGCCATGCGTCGGTTCCATGAAGCACTCCAAGAACAGAAGGAGGAGTTGATCACGGCACTCTTAGAGGATGCACAGAAGGAATAGACTGGCTACCTCCCCACTAGCTGTATATTCCACTGGTCAGGGGGGCTGGACCGTTGAACTGGTGCTGGGACTGAGCAAACAGTGGGCCCCAGGATGGTCTCATCTGGCCCAGTCATTGACCTCTTTGAGCTGAGCTAAACATCTGTCACTTTTGGAAGCTGTGCATCATTTTGATCTTTGCTAACCATTGTGTGTGGGTGAAATGGGTGTTTTTATTGAGGTTGGGAAGGCTTGGGGGAGCTACCTAGAGTGGGATAAAGGGAGTTCCTTGGGTCCCTATTTAAATGGGTTTTATTTTTTTAATTCAATGTCTAATAAATTCTATATTCTCTTAAATTCCAGGTCTGTTTTATTTCTTGTTTACATTTTTCGTAATCTTGTGTGAGAGCTAGATGAGTTTCTGTCCATCCTTTTAAATTCTAAGGTAGGTTGATGGCCAGAAAGGAAGGAAAGAAGTGATTCTGGATTGATGGAGCACTTTCTAAGTGTCAGGTTCTCTTCACTCATTGTTCACACGGATCCTCATAAGATCACACCCACCTTACACATGAGCTGCTGAGTGGCAAGGTGGGTGTATATTGTTGTTGTACGCCATCAAGTCAACTTAACTTATGGTAACCCTATAGGACAGAGTAAAGCTGCCCCGTAAAATTTCCTAGGCAGAAATCTCTGGGGAGGTAGATTGCCAGGTCTTTTCTCGTACAGAATGGGTATTGGGTTTGAACCAAAAACCTTTTGGTTAGCAGCCAAGTGCTTAACTATTGTGCCACCAGAGCTCCTTGGGTGGGTGTATAATCCCAAGTATTCCCACTTTCAAGTTTCAGTTCTTTCCACTCTTGCCTTTACAAAGGCTTTTTTTTTTTTTT